GAGTTCCTCACTCATTCTTCAAATTTAGCAACTTCTTCTTACCAACAAATGTCATGCTGAGAAACTTCTTGTGATGATGAGAATGATTTTCTAATCCAACTAAACTTTTTCCTTTTATACCTTTAAAAATAATGATGAAAATATTCCTTGAACATACATAGGTGTTTTTCTATTAGTCTTAATAATTCTTTGAGCTTCAAATTGTAATTGTGATTCAATATCATTCATGAACCATTTTTAATTTGTTTTCCAAAGCAGAATTCGATTGCATAAACTATGCCAGTACACGTTAATGTATTTTCACATAGTCCTTCAACTTTTTAGTTCATTCCATTATTAAGAATGTTTCTTTGAGAGCCAGTTTTTGAATCTAGTAACTCATGTCCTTTGGCAAAATTGCAAAGTGAGAAATATACATAATTTAAAAAGTGTTTTTAACTCATAAACTCATGATAAATGGTTCCTTTGGACAGTTAGTACCCTTGAATGTGAAGCGGAGATGAGCGCTGTGATCCCATTTCTTTAGCTCGTCAGTTGGTGAAAACTAGTGACCTGACCCCACCTAGGCAAATGTGAGGGGACTGGGAAGTATAATCTAGAAGTTGTCAGGGGGGGGAAAGGAAACAACTACCAAGAGAAAGGGAGTTCTGGATGTGTAGCTTTTATTTAAACACATTTTCCAGGTTGTCAGCCTGTTATTAATCTGCTATCTCTGAAGGTCATCTTTATATTTGTTTTTTTTAAGCATACATTGTTTTCCTTTCTGATAATACATTTTCTGTAGAAGTTTCAGGGGAGATAGAAATGTTTAGAAAAATAGAAATCTGCTGTAAACTCTGGATGGTAAGTATACTTTCGCTGCATCCTCTTCCCTTTTTGTCATTACCCCTTCCTGCTCCTCTAATTTTTATACTGGTAATTTACAGTGACTGTAGGGTCACTGCTGCTATTTGGAGGCGGTCTGGTTCCCTCACCCAAATGTCTGGGGAACTCAGATAAGCGGTGTTCTCATAGCCGTGAGACTGGGTCCAGTAAATGGTTCCCGTAACGCTGAGTGGGCTCGCATACGCAGAATCTTGTTGTTATTACATAATATTCTGGCACCATGCCAGCTTTGTCTATATGTAGTATGTAAGGGAGTTAAGACTTCCTGCTGGGGGACAGGTGACATGCAGAGACACGCAGGGACATGCAGGGGGACACGTGGCTTGCAGCGTGTGTGGCTTACCCACTCCTGAATAAAGGCATGTCAGACATCCCAATGGCTCTGTGAACATTCTTCCCTGTGCTCAAATCCCATGAACCTCTCCAGCCTTGAAGGGTTGCAACGCAGTCACGTACAGACTACATGGGATGCTTATTAAAAAACTGGGATTTAGCCCTGGCTGGTGTACCTCAGTGGATTGAGCATGGGCTGCGAACCAAAGTGTCACAGGTTCGATTCCCAGCCAAGGTACATGCCTGGGTTGTAGGCCATAACCCCCAGCAACTGCACATTGATGTTTCTCTCTCTATCTCCCTCCCTTCCCTCTCTAAAAATAAATAAATAAAAGCTTAAAAAAACAAAAAAACAAAAAACAAAAAAACTGGGATTCATACTTTTATCCCTTACATTGTTGTTAAATGTCTCCAGGATCAGGGTGCTTAATGCCTGTGTACTCTTCCGTTGTATGAATGTATTGCATTTTAACCGTTCATTTTCTTCTCATTTGAAATTTAAATTATTTTTATTTTCCTCTATTATAACTTCTCAGTCAACACCCTTAATACACATTTCTGTATGTATTCCAGATGATTCTATTAGGTGAACGTTGAAAATGTAGTTACTTGGTCAAAGGTACAAACTGCTCTTGATATATATGGCTTGTTCCCATTCAGACAAGTTTCGTTAATGTACACATTCCTCGTAGGACAGTAGAGAGGTGCTCTCTGACTTGTAGGGTGACCATAAACATTATTATTTAAAGGAAAACAACTTAATAGGGTAGAAAAGTGTTTCCTTGCTTATTAGGAAGAACATTTTTGTCATGGCCATGCATATTTGATTTCTTATGAACATTCTCAGTATGTTTTTATCAACGTGAAATGAATATAATACTTTGGGTACAATTTCTTTAGGAAGATTTCCAGAGGCCTGTTCAGTTTTCATGAATGCCACTGATATTAGGATATACTATTTTTATAACTAATTTTTAATTGTAGTATAATACATTTCTATTGCTGAACAAGCTGTACGATTGGTATTTATGCATTCTGCTTTTCTTCTTTAGTCAGCTATCCTATGGGGCTCTCAGGACTATTTTCACGGTCCTCCACACATTGTTCTCTGGGTTCTGGTTATGTGGTGGGAGCCTCTTGAGAATGCCGGTGGCCACTTTCTTCTCATTTCTTTCCTTCTCCTTCCATCAACTCTGTCTGCGGAGTGGTGGTGTGGCTGGTGAGAGACTGGCGTCTCTCGGTAAGGCCGGACCTCTGCTCCCACAGCTGTCTTCTGCGCTGTGACGCTGAAGGTTAGGCATTCTTCCCGGGAGTGGTGACAGTCACGTTTCACCTTTTGAATCGTCAGTGATAGTTGAAGGAAGTGCTCACTTTTTATCAACAATGAAAATAATCTAATTTCTATTTTGTATTGTAAGCAGACTCTTTAATTTTCCTAAGTTTAACATTTATGACAGTCATGTAATTAAAATCTGTAGATGGTTGTTAATGTTTCATATGCTATTAAAATATATAAATTCTTAGATATATCTTACCTTGAATTTTGATATTTCCGTAAGTGTTCCACCCGATGCAGGAGTTTGAACATCTTTATTGTTCAAAGTAATTGAAATTAATAGCTGAAGACTGTGAGTGTGTGTGTATTAGTGAAATTCATGCTGGAAAGTGTGCTTCTATCTTAGTGAAATTATGTAATCTTTAGTAGGTGTGATAGGTCATTTTTTTGGTATTACATGACAACTAGACATAATTTAGTTAATATTGTTCTTAATTTTGTTTAATGCTGCTAAGATTTTCTGTTTTAAAGTTAAAAACAGATACCCCACATCTTTACTTGTTAATATTTATCAATCAGTTGTAACATTTGTTCCATTAAGAGAGACTGTGAAGTACAATGCATGTAACTTGTGGTAAAAGTGTGAACATAAGGAGAGTTATACGCAAAATCATTCTAGCAGTTATCCCAGGGGAGGTGGGACAGGAATAGTTTTGGGTGAAGGGTGGGGTGGGAAGGTACTAAGACTTCATTCATAGTATTCTAAAATATTTTATTGAAAATATTAGAAGCACACACACATCGGAATGGGGAATAACAAGAATAATATTAAGAATATATTCTTAAGAAATAATAGGAAAATATGATAACAGAAAAAGAATGATAGAAATAGGAAAGAATAAGAAAAATAATAGGTACTGCAGATGGTAGATACATGCATACTTGTTATAGTTATCACTTCTATTTTATTTTAAACAGCTATCTAAATCATTAAACATAGCCATAACATTATTAGCTGTAATTATTTGTAGTCACGTTGAAACTCAGATCATTTGCTCAGGTTTCCCGATGTGGGAGGGAGCCACACTGAGTGCACCGGGCCTTCGTGCTTGTAGACGGGAGAAGTGAGACGGGAATCACAGAGGGGGGAGTAGAGAGCTGCGGCAAGGCGGGCCTCGGGCAGAGGAGAGGAGGAGTCTCACAGGGGGTTGGTTCTCTAGCCCTTTTAAGCTAGTACGAAGACTTTGAATCTTCCATTGATTCTTTTTTTGATGTTACAAGGTCAGACTGTATTTCACTCTGAAAAACCTAAACTCACAGCAAAGTTCTTTGCCTGTTTATTTAGTTTTATTTTATCTAGTATTTTAAAATCATGACTGCTTTCATTTAATGCTCTAGGATCTATATATTTTTAGCAAGTTCTTTTTATCTTCCCTTTAGATGTATGGTCATATACTTCCCAGATGCATTCAGAATCAAGATCCAAAAAGTCCAGAATACTATAGATCATTAAAGAAAGGTTTTATCACACTGGGTTTAATAAATAAGCCAGAGAAAGTGGCCATATAGATTTTAGGAAGAGTATGACAATTAATGTTAATGGTTACAGTAACCCCCCAGTAAGCAAAAAATAGAATTATTAGAACACTCAATAATAATTATTAGAATACTCCATAAAGTATGAGAGTTTTCTCTGATACATCTTTGTTCCAAATACATTTTGTTTCTTGAACTTCTATAAAAGGTTTTCTGAAACTTTTGAGGTTGTCTTGCATGAACTGATTTTCTTTTGCACTAAATAAAAAAGTGAAGTAAGGATGGGAAAAGCATATATAGAGAATTGTTTACTGATGAAATTACCCTCATTATGTTTGACTTCCTACTTTGGTGGAGATATTGATGATGCCATCTTCCTACATATTTGTTATAGAATTTGTGCCTTTGTTATAGCATTTGTTTACTGCTACTATATCTTAAGGTGCATGGAAGTATTCACTGTACACTGGGATTCTCTTATTTTAAGTAATTCTGTGTCTGTTGTATGTTTGTTTAAAGATACATATACTCTTACAGCTCAGTAGAATGGACATCAGAATGATATTGAGACCTTCAGGTCTTAGAGAATGTGGTTTTTCTCTTTAATTGCAGAGGTACCAAGCTATCTGTCCTATTTACCTGTTAGTAGGGTTAAGTGAGGTACTGTATGTGAAAGTGCTTTTAAAATTTTGTAACATTGCACAAAACTAAGAGATTTTTATTATTTGGAATTGTAAATAAGACTAAAATAATATTTGAGGAATTGCTCTTTGAAGGCAGAAAAGGCAAAGGAGGGAGAATTACATAGGGAAGTGACTTACGTTTTTAAACTGTGTGTTTTGATATTACCATAAGCCAATGGACTAATGTAATAAATGCTTCAAAAGATCAAAAAGTAAACAGTTAAATTAATCTCTTATTCCCATGCTTTTTACCATTTGCTTGACCGTGGCCTGAATTTATTTCTAAGGATTTGTGTACATCAATGGCAGAATCCTCCAGTGATTCAGACCACTTCCGCTCTCGTGACCGATTGAGTCGATGGGCTGCGAGGTCCCTACACCGGGAACTTGGGAATCGTCCTGCACTAGATGTCACCGAGAAGGTCAACTCTATAACAAGTACTCTACAGGTGAGTTTAACAGGGCTTGCACTGAATCGATCATAGATTGTTTAAGCTGAATAATAATTTTGGTCAATGTATTGGTTTTTTTGCTACCATAACGAATTGCTGCAAAACAAATGTCTTAGATAATAGAAACTTGTTTTCTTACAGTTCTGTAGGTCAGAACCTGACCCTAGTCTCATTGGACAAAAAGTTGGGGTGTTGGTAGGGCTGCATTCCTTCTGGGGGCCCTGGGGAAATACCTGTTCCCGTGCCTTTCCTAGTGTCTATAGGCTGCCCGCATTTCTTGTCTTGTGGCCCCTCACCTTCACATCCTTCTCAGATCGCGTCACCCTGACTACCTCGTCTGCTTCCCTCCTCCACTTTTAAGGGTGTTTGTGGTTACACTGTGTGTAATCCAGGATAATCCCTCAAGATCCTTAATATAATTACGGTATGTCTGCAAAATCCCCTTTGCTGTGTAAGATTACAGGAATTAGGGCTTGAACATCTCTGAGGGTTCTTATTCTGTGTACCACAGTCAGCAAGGATATTTGAAATATGTGATAGGTTGGAAAATGTTTTGGGATAAGGCCATATTTCCAAATAAAATATGGTAGGAGTAAAACCATTAGGGATTACCATCATTTAGCTTTTTCTGGACATGTGCCTTTAGAAAAATGGTTCATATTTTGTCTTGGTAGATTATTCATGGGTGAATAATAGTGAGATGCCATTTTGATTTAGAGGCTAACCTTTGACAGCGTTTGGAAGTTTGAGTGGGGCAGTTTTCATCCTTTCATAGAAAGGGCTTGGGAAAAGAAGTGGGGAAAGGGAAAAAGAAAACTCAGAAATTGAATTTTTTTTTTGAGATCAGACTATTATCCGAGGTTTCATTTGCAAGGGTTTGATCACCAAAATATGTAAAGAACTCACATGATTCCACTCCATGAAGACAAACAACCCAATTAAAAAATGGGCAAAGGACCTACCTGAACAGACACTTCTGCAAGGACATACAGAGGACCCAGAGACATATGAAAAGATGCTCAGCATTGCTAGCCATCAGGGAGATGCAAATTAAAACCACAGTGAGATACCACTTCACACCAGTCAGAATGGCCATCATAAACAAATCAACAAACAACAAGTGCTGGCGAGGTTCTGGAGAAAAGGGAACCCTAGTCCATTGTTTGTGGGAATGCAGACTGGTGTAGCCACTATGGAAAACAGTATGGAATTTTCTCAAAAAACTAGAAATGGAACTGCCCTTTGACCCGGCAATCCCACTGCTGGGATTATGCCCTAAGAATCCTGAAATACCAGTTCAGAGGAAGCTATGCACCCCAGTGTTCATTGCAGCACAATTTACAATTGCCAAGTGCTGGAAGCAACCTAAGTATCTATCAGTAAATAAGTGGATTAAAAAACTGTGGTACATTTACACAATGGAATACTATACAGGGGAAAGAAAGAACTCTTACTGTTCCTGACAGCATGGATGGAACTGGAGAGCAATATGCTAAGTGAAATAAGCCAGGCAGAGAAAGACAAATACCAAATGACCTCATATATAAGTGGAACCTAATTAGTAAAACAAACATGTAAGCAAAATCTAATCAGAGAGAGTGAACTTAAGAACAAATGGCAGTAGCCAGAGGGGTCGGGGGACAGAGATAATGGGGGAAAGAAGGGGAAGGGTTGTTAAGGAACATGTATGAAGGACACATGGACAAAGCCAAAGGGAGTAGATTGGAGGGTGGGAGGTGGGGTGAAAATGTAGACAATTGTACTTGAATAACAATAAAAAAGTTTTTTAAAAAGGAAAAAAAATTGAATCTTTTCCTACCCATTAAACCCTTACCTTTGCCTTGCCTGGATAAGCATGCATTTTGGCTTTTTATTTATTTTGGGTTAATATGCTTAGATAAAAAAAAGCTGATTTCTAGTGGAGGGGCCATAATTTGATTTGATTTTTCTTTTTAAACTTTTTGAAACTAAAATTACAATGGATTTTGGAGTACAGATTCTTGTACTTTCCCACCAATGGGACATATTAGTAAGTATATATTTTTGGAAGAAATGCGTCTGTTAAAATCTCAGGTGAAACCTAACATATTTAGGTTGATACCATTATTGATTAGAACTAAATTTGTTGTTCCTAGCTAAATGTTAAAGGATGCTTTTATTTCCCTTGTAATTAAGGTCTGAGGTAAAGTAATAGTTGAAATAACATAGATCCAATGATTTGCTTCCTTTTTTTATTGTCACCTCCATTCCCCCCCCCCCCCCCACCTGACTTGCTTCTCTTGTGCACAATCTACTAGATTTGTTATTTTAGGATTCTTTTTCATCAAAAGAGTGCACAAATTGATAATGAGGATTTTTTTTGTTTGTTTTTGGTTTTGTTGTCAACTTATTTTGAAACCTTGGATAAGGACTTAAATTATGTGCTTCAGAACTCATACCAGTAAATTGCAGATGGATTTTAGTTTTTCTCTCAGTTATGTTAATAAGATTTAATTGATATTTATTTATGAAGTATATTGATATCTAACTTAACTATGATATAAAGTGTATCTTTTACAAATGATTGATTTAGCTGTTTGACATACTAATAAGACTGATTGGGAAAAATGTTGTTTGGAAAAATTAATAAAGTCCATTTTCTTTCTTAAGGACACCAGTCGAAACCTACGACAAGTAGACCAGATGCTTGGACAATATCGAGAATATAGTAATGGACAGGCAGGTGCTATAGAACACGTAAGAATGTTTGCATGTTTGTATTTTCTCTTACCTTTTTGGAAATGCAGAGTTGAGGATTAGGGATGTGAGCTAAAAGAGATAATCATTGTGAACAGTTTGAACTTTTAGAGTGCTTCACAATTTTGTAGTTTAAATTTAGGTCAGATGGATTGCCAACTAGCTCATGCTGATTAGATTCTGCTGAATTTGAAAGTGTTAAGTCAGAGGGGGAAAAACTCAGGACATGAATTAAACTGAGATTTATTAAATTTGGGCTCAGATACCTCTCATGGGGAGTTAAGAATTTTAAGGATGGTTTATTTTAAAGTAATAGACACTCATTGTTTAAATAAATAATAAAACTCCTCCCTTCTGGCCCTTCTGAGTCCCACTCCAAAGAGGTAACGATTTTGAGACTTTCTTGTATTTCTTTCCAAAGATTTTCTATGCCTGTATAAGCATACTTTTGATTGGTTTAAAAGCTGGAATCATATGTAAAGTTATGCAACTTTTATTATTTAGGAATATATATTTATATCATTTTCTATATGACACATACCTCATTCATTTGAATGGTTACACAGTACTCCATAGTATAGGTGTATCTAGTATTTATTTATTTTTTGGGGTTTGGTGTTATTTTAAATAATGTAGCAGTGGCCATTATGGTACATGTGTTTTTCTTTAATCACATGCTTCCTGGGAGCCGAGTGTTGGGTTAAAGGATATGTGTACTTACAGTTTGCTAGATATTTCAAAATTACCCTCTCAAGGGTATGCCAGTTTGTACTTACTTCACATGGGGATGTGAAAGGAAACATATCCAAGAATCAGGAGTAAATATAATATTTTTATTAATATTTTGCTAATTCAATCTATCATTTCCCTCTTTTGAAATTTAATTCATCTGCAAACTCTTAGAAACCCAATTAAATTTATTTTTTCACATTTCCAATTATGTATATGCACTTTAATAAGAAGATTAGTATTATATTTGTACTATAATGATTGTTTTATACATATCTGTGCTATACTGAATTGTCACATAACTTCCAAGTTATAATTGGTGATTTGTTATCTTTTTATAAAACAGAAGCATAGTTATTATTTGCTTATAATTGGAAACTAATTGCTTCTAATTGGAAACCAATTGCTTGTACCCAGGGAAACATATCTTCTGTCATAGGGTTTTCTACTACTTTCACTTAGAAAATAAACTTGGGCTTTTTTTGCTGCTAAAAGATTTTTATGATTTATGGTATTATGTGTCAGATGGAGCTATAGAGTTGGTATATTTGCGTAGCTCAGGAAATGCTATAGATTAAACTACCTTATTAATAATGGGAGTTGTTATTTGCTTTTTAATTTATTTGTGAAAAATTGAACACTAACTACTAACAGAGAACGATCCTAGTTTGTCATGTTGAATATTAAATGCTTACTTATGGTAGCAAATTTTCTTTGAGTTTGCAATTGGGAAATGAAATTATGTTTTAGAGAAACTTCTGTACGGATAAGCATTGAACACAGAAAATGTGTTCCACTATGGCAGTAAGCCTTTGTGGTAGGCCTCGAGTTGAATAATACTGAAGTCTGGGGTGTGGTTTTATATATGGAAAGTAAACACACTCAATGGTACCTCATTTCCCTCTGAGTTTTTAGTATGTAGAATGCAAAGCCCCTCATATAAAAAATAAGACACAGAAGAACAAGAGTCTTTCTTTGGCTTCAGACTGTAACTTAGTCTAGTAGAGGCTCCGTCTTAATTTCCCCAAATTTTGGGGCTGTTAAAACAGTTGGTCCTTAGTGATTTTTCCCTCCAACATATCACAGGAGTCATGTCACTCCTTGCCTTATGTTATATTCCCCTGATAGAGAGTGACGTTCACCCTGCCACCTATAAGTTACCTCGGGCTGCACCTGCCATAGTCTTTGGGAAGATGTACAACTCAGAAAGAGTGCTTTTCACAAGGGATTCTGATGGGCTCCTCAATGAACATTGCTTTCTTAGCATTTAAATATTTACTGCTATGGCATATATTACCATATTTTTAGGACCATAAGACACACCTAGATTTTAGAGGAGGAAAATAGGAAAAAAATTTTGAAGCAAAAAATGTGGTAAAATATTTAACAACATAAATAACATAGGCTGCCACTCCTTGCCTACCCCTCAGCGAACCAGGTAAGCTACATTTGGACTATAAGACACACCCCCAATTCCCCCCAAATTTGGGGAAAAGTATGTCTTATAGTCCAAAAGTATGATATACCTTAAAAGGAGTATACATAATGTGCCTGGTATCATATAATTTGTCTGAATCTTTCTGTTTATATTCCTGAAGCCCTTTAAGTATATGGTAGTATTATCTTTTTTATTTTCTTTTAATCAATGTATGTGCTGTTTAGGGAGGAACACTGGAGATTGTTTTTTTTTTTTAATTTTTATTTTTGAGACTATGCTGCAACTCCTACAAGTCCTCTTGCTGTGAAACCTGCTATATTTTAAAATAAATCCTGTAACAGCTTAATTCATTTTAACCAGTGTTCAACTGTTAAAAATTTTCTCCCTGCTATCTGTTGCCTTATTTAAATTAGCATTTCTTTCTTTTAAAAATAGATTTCCTAGAAAACGAGATCAACTGTTTTGCTCTAGAGAAGACAAGAACGTTTACTGTTAACTTAGGTTTTATAAATGATTGTATTGCTGAACCTCAGGAAAGGGGTGTTTTATATAGGCATTTAAATATTTCTTTTATTGGGGTTTAATTTTGTGAACATAATTTGCCAATTGGTGAGGGGGGAAATAAATAATTGATGCAATGTTTTCCTCCTGAGATGCTCTCCCCCAACAAGAGAACTGTGAGAATCATTGCTGTCAGTGTTGTAAGGCCTAAGTGTCAAGAGTCACCTTTTTGACTACTTTTCCTTAAAATGTACGTAATTTCTTTCTGCTGCATAGTATTCCATTGTGTAAATGTACCATCATTTTTGATTCACTCATTATATAAGTGGAATGTAATCAACAAAATAAACAAGGAAGCAAAATATAACCAGAGACATGGAAATAAAAAACACATTGATGTAACCAGAGGGGCGGGGTGAGAGGGATAATGGGGGAAAACAGGGGAAGGGGCATCAAGGAACGTGTTTAAATGACACATGGACAAAGACAAAGGGGGGTAGGATTGAGGCTGGGAGGTGGGGATGGGTGGAGCAGGGGGGAGTGGTGGAGGGAAAATGGAGACAACTGTACTTGAACAGCGATAAAAATAAAGTATGTAATTTCACTATTGTTTCCTTGAATCTTTATAGCCTCCAACCCTAAATTTAATTCTTTGCTTATGAATGTGAGGCTTATCTGTGAGGAGCTGAGCAGTCTTAGAGGATCAGCAGTGGGGCCTGTGGGGTTTGGGAGAGAAGCAGCACCTACCTGCCTTATCATAGTCTCTGGGAAATTCTTCATAAACTTGGTATATCCCAGGTGTTTTTTTTTCTTATATCAACTCATTTCATTCTCTCAACAATCCTGTTAGGCAGATACTGTTATTATCCTCACGTACAAGATAAAAACACTGGGGCACAGAATGGTCTCCAACTTGCCCAGCTCATCAGAGCCGAGGACAAGATGTTATCCTAAAACCCAGAGTCTAGATTCATTTACCTTATTTACCTCATGGTTGCGCACATTCCTGTGATGTTGTAAATTTATGATTCTGAAAATTGAAGGGTTATGCAATTTACATTGATAAACTAGGTTTTGGCGAATATCTTAACTGATAGAAAAAGAGAAGCCCATTGTCACCCATGCCATTAACATCATCGCTGGTATTGTGCCAGAAATTAGAGTTAGATGGAACAAATACAGACACAGAATTGGGAAGAAATCTGGTGCTGAGCTACAGCTGGCATTGACAGGTTGTCAAGGTTGGCAGTTTTGGCATCATGGTAGATTCTGCAGCTAACCTACACCAGCATCGATTGTCCCCTTCTGCCTAAGTAACAACCATTGACTTCTCACTAGTCTTTCTTGTAGCCGTGCCTGCCAATGAGCCATATTTACTTGGACAGTATGGCTAAGGGTCTTTGGGCTCAATGAACTCGATGACCTTAAGGAATTGTCACCCTGTATTATTTCTCATTTTGTAAATTTCTTGGGAGGTCTGAGGACAAAGAGGACCTGTGGGGAAGGTTTTATTTGAAAGCTTATATTGAACATTTAGAACATATTATACTCTAGTGTTAAATAGTGCAGTTGATTAGCTTAGTGTTTAGAATATTTCGAGAACATTGTGTTCCTATTCATGAGACAACAGGGTTTATTTTTCTGTTAATTCTATAAAATAGAATGCCCTCAAGAAATATTATTCAACATAAGAGGTTAATATGTAGTAGAAATGTGGAATGTAGCTGATGAGGCTATGGTAGTTAATATGGGTATAAAAGAAAAATACAGTTCCCTTGATTCACATCAACTTGTTTATTCATTTTTAAAGTAAAGACGTGTTAACATATAGTAATATCAAATTAGACCTTAGAGGCTTGCATTAATAGGTAATTTTTCTTCTAATTAGGTACTCTGATTAAAATTTCCCTGTGGGACTAATAGGGTATTACCATCTGGCATGTGAACTTTGGAAGAATTAAGTGTTACATAATACAGTCCAGGTTTTTCTTCTATTCAGTGGGTTTCAGTCGCCAAATATACTTAGTGACACACCAGAAGGACAGGCCACTTGTAGTATCTGCCCTTTTCTCTCTGGCTGAGCTTTATTAATTGTCCTGAAGGAGAGAACTGGTCACAATTAAACTCTGCTGGCTTCCTTTTTTAAAAAAACTATATTTTGGATCTTCGGAATTAGGTTCTTAGAGTTTTATGTTTAAAATTTTATTACCAAGTCTCTCAGGAAACTACTGGACAGGAGAATAATTTTCACAGAATTTTGCTTTAAGTCTAGTGGGAAAATGTAGATTTTGGAGTCAGACTTCAAATGGAATCTTGTTTTTTCAGCCAGAAA